TGGATGAGGAATTAATTAATGAGGAATTATTTTTTGAGTAAAATAATTAGAAAATCGAAATACAAAATAAAATAACATTGAGGATATATATTCACATAAAAGATTGATCAACATTTAAAGTTGATCAAACAAAATGCTTGTGAGTTTATGATATTTATATACATTAATATGTGAGAGTAGAAATTGGTACAGTATTATTGAAACAGAATAGCAGTGATATTCATAAAAATTTACAATCAATACACTATTTCCACTTCAACCCAATGTTCATTTCTATGTCTTTCCATAAGAAAAAATACACATTTGCCCAATAATTTATATTTAACGATGTTGGTATCAGTTCTATTAGTTATAGCAACAAATGGAAAACAACTTATGTGCCCATCAGAAGGAGAATGGTTAATTTAATTATGGCACATACACACTTTAGAATTATTGGGGGTAGTTAAAAGACTGAGATGGATCCATATGTGCTTTCACAGAAAATTCTGCGCTCATTTCGTTAAGTGACAGGGATGAGAGGCAAAACAATATTTATATCATTATCTATGTGTGTTAAAAAACTCACGTTGAATTTTCGTACTATATCTATGTAAGAAAAAAGCCCAGAATATATTTTAATATAATATATAAGCATTGAAAAATTATGGTTACCTGTGAGTAAGGCTGAATTTTGGAGGATGAAATAAGGAATGGGATTTGGATTCATCCATATTTTTGTAGCATCAAGAATATATGCAGTATTTCTATTGTAATTAGTATATTTAAGTAAGACGGACAACAGAAATAATTGTAGCTGTGTGTTATTCAGATAAAGTATCTGTTAGCAGAAATGTAGGACGAAGCCGGAAACCTGAATGACAACACTTCAAAAGTTTCTCTCTCCTACACATAAAGCTTGCCTTGGTTAGCCAGTGTCTCTGCTGTCACGTGACCCAGGGATCCAGGCTGCTTCCACCGTATGGATCCAAATCTCAGCACAGGTTTGCATATTTGCTGCTTAATTGAACAGAAAGCATTGAGGTAGCACACTGTCAAATGCCTTGGTCTGAAAAGGACAAACATTGTTTCTGTTCATATTTCAGTGGCAAGGGTAGTCACAAAACCCTTTCTAATACAAGTGGACTGGACGATACAGTCTTGCAATCTCTCCACAAACAGTTAATGGAGTAGGAGATCATCAGTAAAGTACAACGCTTACAATTTGTATACAAAAGCCCTCTTCATTCTTGGAGAAGTTTCTGAGAAGGCAAAAATTGCCTTGCAACACTCCAACTTTTTCTAGTGTCTGCTATGTGACAAGTGTTTTCAGATACAGGCTCACACCAGTTTCCTAAAGGACACTGTAAATCTCAGCAGGGAAGTGTCGGTCACCTTTTGTCACTAAATAGTACCTTTCTGCACTTACCTTTACAGTAGTCTCAATACACTGAAACTTTTCTTCTTCTTTTTTCTGCGTGGTCAAAAATCACAGCTTGTGAGCCTCTGCTGCCCATCACCTGATGAACATGCCTGAACACTTGTACAGGTGTCTTTAGGCACACTGGAAAACCAGGGTTTTCCTCTTGGGCAGATACAGGCAAGAGTCAGGAAAATGATGGTCAATTTTTTTTTCTTATCAAAGGTGGCATGTCCACCAGGGAGATTATGTTCTATATTGTTGGTAGACTGAATAATTGCTCCATGAAGATGCCCATACCTTATCCCTGAAACCTGTGAATATGTTATGTTACATGGCCAAAGGCACTTTGCAGATGTGGTAAGGTTATGCAAGCGACTTTAAGATAAAGATATTATACTGGAATACCTGGCTGGACCCCAGGTAATCTAATGACATGACCCCTTACAAGCAGAGAACCTTCTCTGGCTTGCTGCAGAAGAGAGATGTGGCAGACAGGGAAGTTCAAGAAATGCCAAGCGTGAGGAAGATTCAAAGTTTAATTGCTGACTCAAAATATATGGGCCCACATGTGAGGACGGGGGAGAGGTCTGGAGAAACTATGGCAGCTCCAGCTGACAGTCAGCAAGAAAACAGGGCCTTGGTCTTATTATCACAAAGAACTGGGTTCTGCCACAACCTGCATGCTTTTGGAAGGAAATTGTTCCCAGAACTCATGAGGAGAGGTCTGGCAGCTGAAAGCTTGACTTGGGCCTTGTGAAACCCAGAACAGAGAAACCAGCAGACGCAACTTGGATTTCTTACCCACAGACATGTGAGAGAATAAATTTGTGTTGTTGTAAACTGCTAAATTTGTGGCAATATGTGGAATACTGGCATAAACTTCTGGAAGGGCTACAGGGTCTGTTAGAATCCAGTCTAGGCAGATGGTTGTGACACAGTGACTTCCTTGGTCCTTCCTCATCTACCATTTAGAAGGGAGGCTTTGGTTCTTTGCCACTTAGTTAAGCTCACTCATCAGTGTACCGATTCAGTGGCCAGTCTCAAATAAGTCAGCAGATTAAATTCTTTTTTCTTTCTAACATTGTCTGCTTTCTAAAACCTTCTAACTTCAGGTTTATCTTGCAAGAACCTGTAGATCCTGTGCCTAATCTACTCACAAGCCAATTTGGAAAAAATTTTGAAAGTGTGGTGGAAGCACCCAGATCAGATGAGCAGACTTCTAAACTTCACCTCCAAAGTAAACAGCAGTGGTTGGGGCTGCTGCTAGAAGAGAGATTCCACAGTCAGGGATGGGACAGATGGGATGTCTGCAGGGAGTTGGAATGCTCTAAATCAGGGGAAAGGTGGGTGATTCTGGGTTTTCTGTTCCACTGGGAGTAGAGTGCAGCCTTATAAAAGGAAGCAGGGGAGAGCTGGACAGCAGGTTAGGATCCAGATGTGGGCATGAGGGCACACTGGGGAAGACCCAGGGGAAGAGCGATGTAATTCGGAAAGGACTGGATCTGGTCCCATGTACCAGCACTGGGTAGAATCAGCCCTAAAAGAACCCTGTGGATAGGGGCAGGAGAACGTTAGGCAAATGCAGGCCATAGATAGTCCTCACTTGGTGTTTAATTCTCATTTTCACTTTATTAATACACCTGGGTTTAGTACATTGGCTGCAGATAACTTCTTTTTTTTATTTCCCGGGAGACATTGTGGAGTAATGAGAAATGAATTAAAAGATAGAAAGTTGGCCTCAGGCTGGGAGGGGTGGAACAGTGTGGGCTCTAGAGGAATTCAGACCAGGGTTCTGGTCCCAGCTCTGTCACTTACAAGCCAGGTGAACTCAGGAAAATTGCAAAACGCTATGAGCCTCAGAGTCTTCATCGGTGAAATGGACTTGATAAGTAGTCCTCTTGCTCTTGCTTCACATATATCATGTAAATAGGAATGTTGGAATGTAACTTATGCAAGACACTGGCACACTCTCTGGCATTTATTGGGTTTTACTAAACTTTAGTTATTACTATAATTATTTTCACCCTAAAACCTACTAACCTCCCCCTCTGGTTTATTTTTTTTTCAATCCAGGAAATATCATAGAATTTGTAGCTCTCTAGGATATGGCATAAGAAATCAGCCAATATGTTGCTTAGCATGTTAAACTAAGTTACTTGCTGTATAAATTTTCTTAGGATATATTATTTATTACTGGTGTGGGGGATCCTACCCAGTTTGATGCAACTCAAAATTCCTGAAATTTGTGTCAAAGGCTATTTCCATCCCTCCCTTATATCTTCCCTTCCATCCAAAACACTTGTGTTTGCAGTTACTTTACCTCCATCACAAATCTAGTTCTAGCTTAGAGTTTACCAAATTACATCCCAGATAACCTAATTAAAATGCCCATCTATTGGATGGACTATGTCTCTCCCAGCCCAAGGCAAAGATTGCCAGCACAGTGGCTTCTGAGCATCCCGCCTCATATAAGTATCACGCTTACTTCTCAGACACTCCATTGTTATCATGTGCACAAATCACCTATTTTTTGGACTGTGTTCCCCCACACTGGAAAAAGAGCACAGGCCCTCTTCCACTTCCGCCCCAGGTGAAGATCGCTCTGCTTTATACATGGTCTTGAAGCAACTGCTAAAAGCAGCTTTTCATTCCAGGCTTTAGTCTCTCAATCTGAGACACATCATCTGAGATTTTAGTCTCTGCCTACCGCTCAAACAAACTCATCTGACCGACCACCCAGCTTAATTAAAATTACCTCCCACTGAAGGGCTTGCAGTTTCCCAAGGTCTCAAACCCCTTTACCATGGGATATTTACATTTCACTACAATTAAAACCCCCAAGTCCTCACACCATCTTTTGACTTGTCATTTTAGTGGTAGGGGATATCTTACAATATTCCTAACGTCATAGCTGCTCCAAGACTTTAAAATTCTACTTTAAAATTCTATGGGCAGGAATGGTTCTTGTTCATCTTAGTATTCCCCATACTAACAGGGAGCTTTGCAAAGATTAGATGCTTAATTATTGTTAAGGGAGAAAAAAGTGGGCCACTGAAAAAGAGGTCTAATTTATTACAATATTATTTCTCCAATATTAATAATAATAAATATTATTATTACAATATTTATTACAATATTATTTTATTTTTATATATATATCATGTTATGAAATAACAGACCAAAAGTGATAAATGAAGCCAAGAATTTATCATCTTTTATTTATTTCTTGACCCCAACTATTACATTGTTGAGTTTTTCACATTTCCAAGGAAATGCCTCGTCTATTGCCATGTTATCTTATTCCAAATTACTAAATAAGGTAGAACTTTTCCAATTAGTTTTACAAAATAATAAAACTCTTACTCTTAAATCTCATTCACAGCCATCAGTGTTTGAGCAACATCACTCATAGATTTGGATTATGAAGCTACTTAAACCTTCTACTACAAGGAACAATATTTAAAAAAATTATCCAAGTTACTACATAGAACAGAAACACAAATATATGTTATACACTATGTTGTCTGCAGCCCCACCCCAACCTTCTACTACTTAGAATGTGGACTTCTCTTTTTAACAACAAAGTGAAGAATCTGCCTCAGACTCTATTGGGGTGGGAGGAGCTGCTGGCTATGGCCCTGGAGCGCATGCTGGCCAGGGCAGCAGTGCCAGCCCTGGCTGCAGCCCTGGCTCGGGCTCTCTCTCCCTCATCTCTCAAAGCCCCTTCATACCAGGATGGGAAGGCCCTGGGGACCGTATCATGGATCTTGGCCACAAACTCCAGCACTTTCATCTTCCCGGTTTCAGTGTGGGCTCTTGGGCCCCACAGAAACTCATAGCACAGAGGATCGCTGTTGGGCACCTGGCGGTAATCCAGGTACCTTTCCCGCACTAAATCTTTGGTGATAAGCTTCCTGGGCTCCCCAAAAATGAAGTGCTTCCTCCCCTCATATAACCCCATCCCATTCAATATTTGCCAGACTTGCTCCTCAGTGGCACAAGTGCCCTTAGTCAAGATCACACCCAGAACAGCCATCAACAGGCCTGTCTTGGGAACCTCTTTATCATCGCTCAGGTTTGCATCATAGCTTGGTTCTGGCTTGTTGACAAGGACATAGATGTGCCAGTAGGGATCCACTTCCTTCAGGTCAAGGCCAAAGATCATTTCCAGGTGCTCAGAAGCTCTCTTGAGGATCTCAAGGAAGTGATTCCTATAAATCTGGATTATATTTCTCAGCATATCTGCCTTGGTAATAGGCTCTTTCATTTGATGCTTGTACAACAGGTAGTACACCAGTATAACCACCTTCTCATCCATATGGCCTCTGTAGATGGGCTCAGTGTATGAAACAGCTCTGGCTCTCTGACCCTGTGGATTGCAACATGACCAAGCAATAGGTGAGTTTTGGGAAATAGCTTTGCAATGAGGAAGAAGACGGGATCTCTTCTCCCACTTTCACAGTGGCCTGAGCACCTACCAGATCCTTGGGCTCGTCTAGGGCCTGGCAGCGTTTTTCTCAGGCACAGAGCTTACTCTTCTGACCCCGAGGCATGATGACTTTCAACAAAAGCAGCAGGCAAGTGGCGGGTGACTCAGTGACCTAAAGGAAAGAGGATGAGATTGCTGGGCCACTTCAACAGGGAGATAGATACAGGCTTGGCCTCTACTGAAGGCCGTCTCTGTAGGTTTCCTTGAGGGCACTGTTCTAGGAGCCCACAAAGTTCCTATTCTCTAATTTGCCTCTTCCCTGAGGACCCTGTGGAAATAACTAGGGTGTACCTTAGCTCCTACCTACCAAATCTGCCTGGGGCTCACTGGGGCTTAGAGCAGTGGCTCTGTTCCGAGTTAACGAACAGAGTGTCATCACTTCACTTTTGGCAAGCCCTGGGGTTCCTGTGCTCTGCTGGTCTGATGCTGACCCCTCATTTCAAAGTCCTTATCACTCTGAGACCCCAGAGATGGAAATGAGCAGAACTTCATTATACCACACTTGCCTGGGAGTGCACAGGGAAGAGAACGCAGAGCTCCGTGCGACCCTCTCTATCCTTGGATGATTAGCCGTGTCAGTCGTCACTCAGTGCCCTCACTTTCGCTTCTGGTAGGGCCTAGGACTCCTCCCTCTGCTGACAGGAGACCTATGCTCTCAGAGCAAGGCCCTCAAATCCTGAAAGTTCTGAGGAGGAGGTTAGGGAGGCCTCAGTCTAACCTATCTGCCCCAGGTACCCTCGGGGCTAATGGCATGGATAGGATTCTCTGTGACCCCCACTGTTCTGAGGCAGGTGGTCCCCCCGGCCCTCACTCGGGATCCTCACACTGACGGTTGGAAAAGCTTGGATTCCCTCCCTTTAATGACCATGAGGCTGCTGTCTCAGACCAGACTTCGTCTTGCTCAGAGTGCCCGAGGAGCACACGAGGGGATGCCTCGGCCTCACCCCTTACGGGAGGCTGCTTAGGGCTGACGGCGGTGGTGGGGCTTTGCAAGGCCCCCTTTGTCGGGGGTGGGAGTTCCCCAAGACCTCACTCGGCGCCCTCGCTGTAACAGGCCGCGGGGCCTGGGAGCACCTCCCCCTGACGCCATGCCATCCTCCTCCCATTCTCGAGTGTTCATTCCCCCCGGAACACCAAGAGACAGATGTCGCCTCTACCCCCATTAGGGCCTGGGACCCGACTCGCTGTTGGTCTGAAGCTGACACCCTGCTCTGCCCTCATCCCCTCAGGGGAAATTTCAAAAATACTTAACAGGTCGTTCGGTCAGATGATTGCCATCCAGGTTCTCTCAGGGCTGAGAGCAGGGTGGAACTCTCTGGGGACACCTTTAATCTGGACTGGCCAGTCCCCTCAATCCCGACTCTGGGTCTTTACCGTAATTCCACACAGAGCCTGGAGCTTTTCCCTGGACTGACGTGATGCTGCCTCCTCAGACACCACAGGCAGAAGTTGGCCCACGTCACATCCTTACCCCTACCTAGGCCCCTCGCCGCAGCCGGCAAAAGGGGTTTGGGCTCTGCGAGGCCACCTATGCGCTGGAGTGGGTGGTTCCCTCAGACTTTGCCCAGGGTCCTTGCCTTTACTCCTTTAGGGCCTGGGACTCGTCCCTCTGCTAGTTTGAAGCTGACACCCTGGTCCCACCGCCCTCACCTGCCTTAGGCCTCTCAGAGGGAATTTAGAAGGTTCTCAGAGGTTGCTACATTCCTGCTTGGTTTCTTTAAGGGCTGATAGCAGGAGCGGGGCTCTCTGGGAGCCTCTCTAGTCCGCGACGGGCGGTACCCTCACATCTAACTCAGGATCTTTCCTGTAATTCCAGGCACAGCCCAGAGTGCCTCCCTTAGCGTACAAGACACCGCTCCCCTCAGACCTATGCCTTCACTTCCCTGAGACCCCAAGGCAGATATCAGAGTGCACCACTTCCGGCCAGCTTTGCCTGGGGTCTCCCAGGACTGACATGGGGCGAGGGGGCGGGGTTCTATGGGTTCAACTTTGTTGTACGGGTGGGGATTCCCTTGGAATTCACATAGGGTTTTTTTTTTTTTTAATTCCTGCCTGATCCTGTGTATCCTCCCTCTGGTTAACTAGACTGAAACCAAGGCCCTCCATACATCGCTCTCCAGGTTTCAAAGGGTGAGGTGAAGGGACTTCTTGAGCCTCATAGCCATACCGGGGTTTCCCAGAGCTGACACCAGGAGCAGGCCACTCTGCTGCCCACATGTTCTGGGGTTCCTTCAGAATCAAACAGAATTCTCATGTTTACTTCTGTTAGTGCCTGGGACCCACTCTCCATTGAGCTGACACTCAGGTCCAATGCCCCCAACTTTCTGAGTCCCCAGAGGGGAAATGCAGAAGGCACTACTTTAGGAAATCCCTGCACAGAACTTGCCAGGACTGAAAGCAGGGGTGAGGCCCTGGGGTCCACTCTTCTGGGGTGCGGGGTCCCCTCAAACTAAATCAGGGACCTTACCTAAACGCCAAGCAAGACAGGAACTCTTCCCTCTGCTGACCTGATGCTGCCCACCTCAGATCAAAGTGTTCACATCCCTTAGACACCAGAGACAGAATTCAAGGGAAGCCATTTCCAGCCACGCTTTCTGGAGCTTCCCAAGGCTGACAACAGGGATGGGCCTCTGTATGGCACCATCTGTTCTGGAATGGCTGGTCCCTCTGACCTCATTCAGAGTCCTCACCTTTAATTTTGTTAGGGCCTGGGTTTCCTCCATCGGCCAGCCTGAAACTGACAGGCTGGTCCACTGTCCTCACTTCAGAGTTTGATTTTACTATATTTACTACAGATCACTGTGATGATTTCAGGAATGGCTGGCACAGAATTTTCTTTTTTTACTTTTAATTCAATCAAGTTAAACCATAAGAGTTATTACCATAAGAGAGATATAGCTTTGGATTCCACATATATCTGTCATCCACCGTCCATTTAACAAGGAACTACACAAACTACATGGTTCTCCATCTACCCTGTAAATGTTTGCATTGTGGACCAGCCCCCTACTCCAGTCAGTATCTGGTAGCAACACAGACCACCAAACAGAGCCAAAGTACTTCTGCCCTCTGGTGTGCAAAGAAATCAGGAACCATGGAGGCAGTCCAAGCTGGGGATAACACCAGAGTTGTTTTTCAAGGCATGTCTATACTCAGCCCTTTATTCCCAGAGTCACTGAGGTAATTAGCCTTAGGGAATTCCTCCTCCAGTTTCCCCCTCCTTGCAGCTGCACACCCCCTTCTACTCATTAGTAATACTTGCCCAGTTAAAACCTGACCTGGATCACCAACCAATTCCATCCACTTGCATAGCTTCAGCCTCAGCAGTAGGAGGGCCACATACATGGGGAGAAATAGTCGTCTCCCTCAGGCATCAAGACAGCTCTCGGCCCTGGTACACTGGCAAGGGTGCACGGAACCACCAGAGTAGTGAAGAGATGTACCCTCCCAGAATCCGTGATCAGCTAGCTATACTCTGCCTGACATTGGGGAGGGGCATTCTCAGGCGTGCCTCTGGTACTTTGATCCAGCAGACCTTCCCACTCAGACCACTCTACAACTTCAGGGTGGTAATGATGATCCAGAGATTCTCTAGCCTTTCCATGTAAGCTGTCCAGTACCCTCCACCAGATTCTCCACCTTCTCTCCTCCTTGTACCTTTTCCATCTTTTGCTGAAGTCTGTATACAGGTCCCCGACTTCCAGCTGCGCTAGGCTCTCTGGACTTGTTTCAATATTTGATCTCTCTCATGGATTCTGGAAATTACTCCCCCCATCCCCCCATCACCCCATCACCCCTCCCAACATCCTCCTGTTGTCCCTCACTTAGTGATGTTTTCCTGTCCAGGCTCATTTCCTGGCACCTGATCATTCTGCCAGATCCTTGCTTCTCAAAGTAAAGGGAACATTTACTTGACTTATCAGAATTCTTAAAGCGTGCACCTAGGGCAATCGTGGTACTTAAGATATCACTGAAGAAACTCTGCTTTATATGGGTGAAGGACTAAATTAATTTTCTGCTCAATCTATTTAGAAAATAGGGAAATACAAATTAAAATGACAGTGAGATGATATATTTTCAATCAAAAGTTTGACCAAAATTTAAAAGTTTGATAAAATACCAATGAGAGCTTAATTTATTCACATACATAAATATGTGAGAAGATAATTTAGTATAGCATTCTTGGAACAGAATATCACCAATATTCATAAAAATTTACTATCATCACACTCCTTCCACTTTAATCTAATTGCACTTTTGTACATCTTTCCTATGATAAAACATGCACATTTGCCCGAGAATTGATGTTCGATGATGTTGATGTCAGTTCTGTTAATCATAGCAGCAAATGAGAAACAACTTGTGTGTCTGTCAGGAAGAGAATGGTTAAATTAATTACAACACATACACACTTTAGAATTCTAGGGCATAGTTAAAAGAGTGACACGATCTATGTATGTTCTCACGGAAAGATCCTGCATTCATTTTATTCAGTGACAAGGGCAAAAGCCAGAACAATAGTGTTATGCATGTATTTTAAAAACTCACAGTGTATATTTCTAGCACAGGTATGTAAGACTAGGCCTGGAATAAATGCTAAAATACTACACAGAAGAATTTTTAATGCAGTTACCTCTGGGCAAGGATGAATTTTGGAGGAACATGGTAAGGAAGAGGAATTGGGATTTCTTCCTATTGTTAGAATGTTTTGGAAACAAGAATATATGTCCTATTTCCTTTTTGGTTAAGGTATTTAAATAAAAATAACAGAAAGAGTAGGTATGTATTATTCAGATAAAGATTTTTATGAGATGTGATGGGAGAAGTCTGATTTCTGAATGGCTTAACATAACAAAATGTTATTTCTTATGCACATAAAATCTGATGGGTGCTGGCAGGAGGTGGTGGTGTCTACACTGTCAGGTGACTCAGGGATCCAGGCTGCTTCCATCATGAGCTTCCACATCTCAACACAGGCTCTCCGCGTTTGCTGCTGAATGAAACACGAAGCATGGAGTTGACATACTGGTTCTCAAATACCTGGGTCTGGAGGTGACAAGCATGCTTCTGCTCATATTTCAGTGTCATGGATAATCACATGACCCTTCTTAGCTACAAGTGGTTGCGCGTGTAGTCTCCATATGAACTACAAGGATGGAGAGTAGGACACGAAGTGAATGAGCACTTGTAGACGTTCCCATTAACTGTCACACAGTAGTTGCTCAAAAAAGAGCAACTATTAAAATTTGTTATGACATTAGCCCTCATCATTCCTGGAGGATTTTCTGGGAAGATCAAATTTCCTTGCAATTCAACAACTTTTTCTAGTGCCAGTATGTGACCTGTGTTTTTCAAATACAGGGTCACCTCAGCTTTCAAAAGGATCTCATAAATCTCAGCAGGGAGGATGCACCCTTCTTCATTCTTAGCACCATTCTACACTGACCTTTTCAGTAACCTCTATAATCTCAATACACTGAGATTTTTCTTCTTCCTTCTGCTGCATGAAAAAATCATAGTTGTGAGTCTCTGCTATTCACCACCTGTTGAACATGCCTGAACACTTGTACAGATGTCTCTAGGCACACTGGAAAAGCAGGGTTTTCCTCTGGAGCAGATACAGACAAGACTCAGGAAAATGATGGTCAATTTCTTTTTCTTATTAAAGCTGGCATCTCCACCAAGGAGACATATTCTACCTCAGTGGTAGACTCAATAGTCATTCCACATAATGCCCATAGCTTTATCTCTGAAATTTGTGAATATGTCATGTTACATAGCCAAAGGCACCTAGTGTATGTAATTAAAATTATGGAATGGACCTTAAAATAGGGAGGTTATACTGAATTATCTGGGTGGGCCCAATCAAACAACATGAGGCCTTACAAGCAAAGAACTTTTCTCTGGCTGGATGCAGAAGAGAGATGCAGCAGAGGGGAAAGTAGGAGCTTCCACAAGAGACAGATGCAATGTGCTGTTTCAGAAGCAGGGGCCCATTTGCAAGGACTGAAGGAAGGCCTAGAGGAACTATGGCATCTCCGGCTGACAGTCTGCAAGGAAACGGCCTCAGTCTTATAACCACAAAGAACTGAATTCTTCATAGAACTGGATTCTGAGAGCAACCTGAGTAAGAGTGGAATGCAATTCTTCTCAGCACCTACCAATGAGAACCCAGTCTCCAACAGCTTGTTTTGGGCTTTGTGTAGCCCTGAACAAAGAAAACAGCATAGCCAACCCATATATCCCATCTACAGAAATGTGAGAATAAATGTGTGTTGTTGTAAGTCCCTTAATTTATGGCAATTTGTTTGTCAGCAATAGAAAAATACTAAATCCTCCTAAAAACCTGAGTTCTTAGGAATCCAGCCTCTGCAGATGGTTGTGACACAGCGATTTCCTTGGTCCTTCCTCATCTACCACTTAGGAAAGAAGCTTTGGTTCTTGGCCACTTAGTTAAGCTCACTCTTCAGTGTATGGATTCAGTGGTCAGTCTCAAATAAATCCCAAGTTAAATTCTCCTTTCTTACTAACCTCATCTGCTTTCTAAAATCTCTTCCCTAACTTCAGGGTTATCTTCCAATAACCCGTAGATCCTGTGCCAAACCAGACTCTACTCACAGGCCAATTTGGAAAAAACTTTGAGTGTAGGGGAAGGGCCCAGAGCAGATGAGCAGACGTCTAAACTTCACTGCCAAAGTGAACAACCACATGGACGGGGCTATTGTTATCAGAGGGATTCCATAGTCAAGGATGGGACAGACAGGGGACATCTGTGGGGATTGGGAGGCTCTAAATCAGGGGAGAGGCAGGTGATTCGGGGCTTTTTTTTCCACTGGGAGCAGATAGCAGCCTTAAGAAAGGAAACTAGACAGCAAGTCAGGATCTAGATTGTGACAGGAGGAAGACCCAGGCCAAGAGTGATATATTTCTGGAAGTGCTGGATTAGGGCAGAGTCAGATCTCAAGGATCTCTGGGGGTAGGGGCAGGAGGAGCCTAGGTAAACTAAGCTCACAGCCTATCCTGAATTGTTTTTAATTCTCATTTTAATTTTTACTTATTATACCTGGCGTTAGTACATTGGCAACAGGGTCCTTCATTTCATTGCCTAAAAGACATTGTGGAGTGTTGAGAGTAGAACTGAATTAAGCGACAGAGCAACTGCTTTATTCAAGGAGTGGAACAGTGAGAGCCCTAAATGAATTCAGACCAGAGGTCTAGTCCCAGTTCTGACACTCATGAGCCATGTGAAGTCAGGAAAATTGCGAAGCTCTGTGAGGCTTTTCTATGAAGTGAGTTTGATAAGCCTTGCTGTGTAGGACTCCTGGGATGTATGTAATGTATGAAAGCACCAGGCACAGTGTCTGGCAAGTATTGAGTCTTTTCATGATTTGCAGTTATTACTGTTATTATTTTGACCGCAGACCCTACCAAAATCTGCTCTATGATTTTTTTAATCCAAGAGATATCAGAGAATATGGGGCACCCTATGATATGGCATAACATATTAGCTAACATGATGCTTAGCAAGTAAAACTAAATTACTTACTACATAAGTTTTTGAGGTTATGTTATTTATTGTGTGTCTAGGGGAATCTTCCCCAGGTGGAACTTAGGGATTCCAGAATTTGTGTCAAGCACCAACTCCTTCCATCCCTTCCAACTGTCCTTCCATTCAAACCACCTCTATTTTCATTTATTTCAGTCCCATTAAAAATCTAGCCCTAAAAAAAAAAAAAATCTAGCCCTAACCTGGAGTTTGCCAAATTACACACAAGACAACCTAAATAAGATGAACTTCAAATGTAGTGGACTCTGTCTCTCCCAGGCCAGAGCAAAGATTGCTAGCATGGTGGCTTCTGACCACACGCATGTCATAGATGATCACCCCTATTTCTCAGAAATTCCCTGGGGATGATGAGCATAAAACACATAGTTCACGTGCTGTGCTCAACTGCACTGGGAAAAGGACACTGGAAAGGATGTAGGTCACCTTCCATTCTTATCCCAGGTGGAGAACTTTCTCTGGTTTATCCATGACTCAAACGTAACTGCTAGAAGTTTTCCATTTCAGGCTTTAGTCTCTCAACTCTGGACACACCTTCTGAGTGTCTGGCCCTTGCCCACCACTCCCACAGCCTCATCTGACCCGCCTCCCAGCTTACCACAGCACTGACTCACACTGAAGGACTTGCCATTTCCCAAACCCACTGGCCTCAGGGCATTTACACTTGACTGCTCTCTTCTGGATCCTCCTATGTCCTCTCCTCCTTTTGACCTGTCCTTAGGTCTTAGGGTGTATCTCATTATCTTCCTTACTTTACAGCTGTTCCTAGACTCTAAAATTCTATGGGCACAGTTGGTCTTGTTTTTCCTGACATTCCCAGTAGTAGCCCAGAGCCTGCCAAAGAGCAGATGCTCATGGAATGTTTGAGAAATAGATGAGACAGTGTGCAAGAGGTCTAATTTCTTATGATGTAATTAATTCTACATTCTTGAATAAAGTAAGCACATCCAAGTGTATATCTCTTAATTTTACAGAACAACAGACTAAACATGATAAGGGAATGTAAATATTTATCGCCTTTTACTTTTTCCTCTATTTCTTGATCCCAACCATTTTACTGCTGATTTCTTTTCACATTTCCAAGGAAATGCCTAACCCAATGACATGTTATCTTGTTCCAAATAACTAAATGAGATGGAAAATTTCCCAATTCTATAAAATAGTAAAACTCTTACTCTTAAACCTCATAAACATCAATAAATGTCTGATTTACATCATTCATAAACTCAGACTCTGAAGCTACTTAAACTTTCTACTAAAAGGAGCAACATTTAGGCAAATTTATCCAAGTTACTACATAGAACAGGAGCACAAACGTGTTATATACTCTGTTTTCTCCAGCCCTGCCCCAACCTTCCACTAATGAGAACATTAGCTGTTCTCTTTGAACATGTTAAATAATCTTCCTCAGCCTTCACTCAGGGCAGGAAAAGCTGCTGGCTATGGCCCTGGAGCGCACGCTGGCCAGGGCAGCAGTGCCAGCCCTGGCTGCAGCCCTGGCTCGGGCTCTCTCTCCCTCATCTCTCAAAGCCTCTTCATACCAGGATGGGAAGGCAGTGGGGACCGTATCATGGATCTTGGCCAGAACCTCCAGCACTTTCATCTTGCTGGTTTCAGCGCGGGCTCTCGGGCCCCACAGAAACTCATAGCATGGAGGATCACTGTTGGCCACCTGGCAGTACTCCAGGTACCTTTCCTGCACTAAATCTTTGGCGATGAGCTTCTTGGGCTCCCCACTGATGAAGTTATTCCTCCCAGCATACAACCCCATTATATTCAGCAATTCCCAGACTTGCTCCTCAGTGGCGCAGTTGCCCTTCGTGAAGATCACACCCAGAACAGTCATCAGCACACCAGTCTTGGGAACCTCTCTGTCATCACTCGGCTTTGCATCATAGCTTAGTTCCAGTTTATTGACAAGGACATAAATATTCCTGTTGGGATCCACTTCCTTCACGTCAAGGCCAAAGACCAGCTCCAAATGCTCAGAGGCTTTCCTGAGGATCTTATAGAAGTGATTCTTGTACATCTGTATTACATTTCTCAACATATCCGCCTTGGTAACGGGCTCTTTCATTTGATGCTTGTACAAAATCCTTTGGATTTTCTAAAATGATGATCAAATTTACAACGAATAACTTTTGTTTCTTTTTAATAGTCCTAAAATTTATTTATTTTTGTATTCTTATCCTCTGGCTATGCATTCCAGTCCAGTGTTGAACAGTAGAGTTGGTAGCATTCTGCTTGCTGTGTCTTCTTCCTTACCTTAACGGGAATGCTACTAACACTTTGTGTTTCACATTTCAATTCTTTTGCTGTAGATTTTAGGAAATGAAAATTCCCTTCTAATGTCAGTTTGCTAAATGGTATTACTATGCATTAGTGTTGAGTTCTTTTCAAAAGCTTTTTCTGCATTTCAGTACATGGTCAAAGCGTTTTAAAATTTTATCTGTTAATGTGGTAATATTTTAGGCAGTTTTTTCCTAATGTTATATCATCTTTACATTTCTTGGATTCAGCCTCATTTTTCTACATTTAATTCACTGCTGTATTGAAACTTCTATGGGTTTATTTAGGATCTTTGCCTGTGTGTGGGTGAGCTTGGCTCAAGTATTCTGTTTTCGGGGTGTCCTCAGCTGGTTTTCTTATCAAGGAAAGCTAGCCTGGGAAAATGAGTTGAAAGATTTCCCATCTTTTTGTATGCTTTGGATGTGTTTACATAAGATAATGGTTCATTTTTTGCTTATTATATGGCAGAACTGCCTTGTCCTGAAACATTTGAAGGTGGCTGGAGCTTTGAGGAGAGTTTCAGTTTGTATTTCTCAATTACAGTTTTCTATTTCTCTTTGGATCAATTGGGTAATTAATATTTTTTCTAAATAATGGTCTATTTTCATTGGGGTTTCAAATTTAATGGCAACATGTATATTCTTTTCATTGGAGAAATTCTCAAACATATACAACATAGAGAGACTAGTGTAGTAAAACCAATACATCTGACATTAGAATCAACAATTATCAATACATAGTCAGTCTGGTTCCATTTATACCCATAGGTACTCCAATCTCTGCCACTGAAATAATGAGAAACAAATCCTAGATATAATACCATTTCATCTTTAAATATGTCAGTGCCGGTTTCCAAAAGGTAAGTACTCTTTATGAAATATAAACCTTATGTGGTAGGATTATACATATTCTACCTTAAAAAAACTAACTCTGTGATATCATCAAATGTCCAATTACTTTTCACATTTACCTGACATATTTTTTAAATGTTTTGTCCTTGAATTAGAGTCAAGTAAAGTCTGTTCATTGTCATTGTTTTTTATGTCCATTAATTTATAGATCTTATCCTCCCCCCTCTCCAATAGATACATTACTTCTTTTTCCTTGTCATTTTGTTGCTGTTGTTCGGAGGAAAACCCTCATCTTATGTTCAGTCCGGTTTCGTATGGCCTGGATTTTGCTGATGCCAACACTGGTGTCCTTCTCCCCATGTATTTCTTTAAATCGGTTGAAGTTAGATCAGATTAAGGTTTAACTTTTTTCTCTTTGTTTTTTTTCTTCTTCTGGAAAGACTGCTCCATAGGTGATACTGTGCACTTTTATTACTAGGAACCTAATGTCTGTCTCCATTTGTGTTGATGTTTGCAGTCTTTGAAGATTAGCATATTTATCCATTAACTAATTGAGAGTTACACAATGTTAATTTTCTCTATCATTCCTTCTGAATTTATTAGATGAAATATATATTTATGTAGAAACCTATCCTTGTCCTCCATTTGGTAATATTTATACTGTTCTCTTACAATATTTAAATTCCTTCTGCACCTATATTTTGTACAATATTATTCAACTAATATCACTTCTGTTTCTTTCTTTTGTAATTGATGATAACTATAAAACTGTCAGTTATATCAGCGTTTTCAAAGAGTAGGCTTTTGTTAGTTGGCTTCATTGTCTTTTTTTTTTTTTTTTTTTTGCGGTACGCGTGCCTCTCACAGTTGTGGCCTCTCCCGTTGCGGAGCACAGGCTCCGGACGCGCAGGCTCAGCAGCCATGGCTCACGGGCCCAGCCGCCCTGCGGCATGTGGGATCCTCCCGGACAGGGGCGCAAACCCGTGTCCCCTGCATCGGCAGGCGGACTCTCAACCACTGCGCCACCAGGGAAGCCCTTTTTTTTTTTTTTTCATTGTCTTTTAATTAATCATTTCTACACTATTTCATACATTCTATTTTGGGGGGTTTAATATGGTGCTCCTCTAGTTTCTTGAAATTTTTTGCATGTTTTAAATATTTCTATTTTTTTTTGTCCATTGGGATTTTAATTTCAATAACTATATTTTTATTTCCAGATATTGTTTTAGTTCTTTTTCAAATTAGCCTGTTCTTTTCCCTAATTTCTTATTCCTATGGTCTCTATGCTTTCTATTCTCTTTAATGGATTTTATTTTTAAATTGAGTTATAATTGACATATAACATCATAATAGTTTCAGGTATACAACATAATGATTCGACTTTTGTATATATTGTGAAATGGTCACCACAATAAATCTAGTTAACACCCATCACCACACATGGTTACAATTTTTCTTGTGATGAGAACTTTTAAGATCTCTTAGCATCTTTCAAATATACACATACAGTATTATTAACCATGTTGCCATACTGTACATTACATCCCCGGGACTTATTTATTTTATAGCTGGAAGTTTGTACCTTTTGACTACCTTTATCCATTTTGCCCACTCTCCACCCCCTGCTTTTGGCAACCACCAGTAGTTTCTCTGTATCATTGAGTTCATTTTTTTTTTTTATTCTACATATAAGTGCCTTTCTCTGTCTGACTTATTTCACTTAGCATAATTCCCTCAAGGTCTATCCATGTTGTTGCAAATGGCAAGATTTCCTTCTTTTTATGGCTAAATAATATTACATTATGTATATATATATACACATACATATATATATATATGATATTTTCTTTATCCATTCATCCATTGGTGGACATCTAGGTTGTTTCCATATCTTGGCTATTGTAAATAATGCTGCTATGAACATGGGGGTGCATATATCTTTTCAAGTTAGCATTTTCATTTTCTTCCAAGAAATACCCAGAAGTGGAATTGCTGGATCATATGGTAGTTATATTTTTAGTTTTTTGAGGAACCTCCATACTGTTTTCCATAGCAGTTGCATTATTTTTTAAATAAATTTATTTAAGGCTATAAATATCCCTCTGAGTACCACTTGGGGTGTTTCCCACAAGTAATGCTAATAGAGCTTTATGTGTAGTGCTGGAATTTTTTACAAGCTGAATGTCTCTGTATTCCTTATGTTCTTAGAATTTTTTGAATATCTATATACATATATATACATACACACACACATATACATGCAAACACACACAAATACTAGTAAGTGGAGAAAATTATTTTGGAGAAGGATGTGAAGAGGAGGAGAGAAGCAGAGAATTATTTAGAGAGGTTTCAGGGTCCCAGTGGGTGTTTTGCTTTGTTTTGTTTTGGTTATATATGATATAAGAGACTTGAACACATTTAACTGCTTATGACTGAATTGAGTTTTTCCTAGGAGTGAAAGGAGAGTTTCACATTAGAAAATCAAACAAAATAATTACAAATGCAACTGTCAGAGATTATTCAGGAAAACAGAAGTTACTTTCAATCGATAACTCAGGTAGAATTTAATGCAAGAAATTGGTTACTCAAATAATGGAGAAGCCAAACAGGATAGAGTCAGGAAAACCAATACTTTGCAACTTGAGGAAATCACTCCCATCTTTAGGATAGAGAGACAAAGAGACGAGGTAGTGTTACTGGAGACTGGGAGTTGGGGTCAGCAGGATCCAGAACCATGGTTAACCAACATATTGGGGGCTAGAGTCATAGAGAAGATGTAACCATTGAAGGAGAAGCCACTTGATTCAGAGAGAGAAAGGGAGAAGGAGAAAATGTCTGACTGTTTCTCTCCTCCTGGACTATAATCTGCTGGTGTCCTTGTTGCCCGATCCTTGATAGTAGCCAAATATTGGAGAACCTAGGAGCTGCAGCCTGCAGGAGTTATCTGCAAAACACTACAGAGCAGAGCAAAGAAAGAGTAAGGAGTGGCTCTGAGGGCAAATAAGTATAGGGCTGGCATAACACAATGACATATTAAATGAGACAAATATACAAGTTGATAAAGAAAATTGTTTTATACAAATCAATATTGATTCATGATAAAAAGAGATGTTATCAAACTAGATAATGGATATCTACCAAAAAAATACCCTCCATTGCAAACATCATACTTAGTGGAAAACCACTGGAAATTGGGAATTAGATAAGAATGGCTACTATCACTATTTTTTATTCCACATTGTAAAAGAGACACCTGCCAGCCCAGTAAAAGGAAATAAATGAAATAAAGGAGTTAGAGATTGGAAAATGAGACCATTTAGTTGTCAGTTCTCCCCCAAATATCTCTAGGTTCAACAAAATCTCCATCAAAATCCCAGAAGGCCTTTATATTTTTTTAAAGAAATTGATATACTCTAAAATTTATGTGGGAATACAATGGACAAGAATAGCCAAAATGACTTCGAAAAAGAAAAGGAAATTTGGAGGACTGACACTACTTCATGTCAAGACATTATAAAGTATGATAATCAAGACAATGTGGTATTTTTGTAAAGATAGACAAATGGCTCAATGGAACGGAATAGAAAAACTGGCAATAGACTCTAACATATATAAACAACTGATTGTCAACAGTGGTACAAAGGCAATTCAGTGAAGAAAAGATAGTCGTTTCAAAAAATGATACTGGAACAATTGGAAATATACACACACACTTTGATCCATTACTTTCACTGTACAAGAAAAATAACAAAAAATGGATCACAGATCTAAATGTAAAATCCAAAACTATAAAACTGCTAGAAGGAAATGTAGGGGAAAGCCTTTGGGTTCTTGGGCTAGGCAAAGATTTTTTGGCTACTACTTCAAAAGGACAATTCATAAAAGAACAAATTGATAAATTGGATTCCACCAGAATTAAAAACATCTGTTCTTCAAAAAGACACTGCTAAGAGAATGAAAAGAC